CTTGGCAAGTTTTTTTGCCAGTCCCAACTTTACCCTTACTTACTTGGGGAAGAATCCAAAGACAGGCATTATTTTAAAGAGGATAGGGCAAAAAGAAGGGTTGGGAAGAAACTCTTGGCTGCTGGAAAGGTCATGAGGAAAGATTCTGGTTTGTCACATCATCCAAGGCTTGAAATTTTTAATAAATATTGATTGATGGATTGGCGTCAAAGCAAAGTTTTGACTCCATGGAAAGACAGACCTACACATGTGCAGAGATTTCAAACTAGCAATGCTCTCCTTCCAACTCTTCGCAAAAGGAAATCACATGGGGAAAGCAAATTAGTGATTAAGGAACGAAACAGACCACCACAGGGCTTTCTCTGAGGCCTTCTACTTCCCAGGCCAGGCCTGGTGCCTGCTTGGGAGATGAGCCCATGAACATGTGCTCTCAGCCACAGTTTCTCCTCTCCTGACATCTTTCTGCCAGATGGTCTTTCTCAAATTCTAGAGGTGCTTGGCCCTCCTGGTTCCTGCGACCTGAGCCAAGAGAACTTTGGTCCACCAATTTTCCCTGTAGGAGCCCCTCTCGTAAGCAAGGCCTGGCACCTGGATGACAAAAAGATACCAGGCTTGAGGACTTCGGGTGCACTGAGCAGGAGCTCCCTGGAAGGACCCAGAGCTGCCAGAGGCGAGCCTTGCACTGACTCCCAAGGTCCAGAGAAACCTTCTCAGGCCTGGCCAGCTGCTCGCAGAAACTGCCTTTGGCCCTTTACCACCCTTTACCAGGGAATGTGCTCTCTGCCCATTGTTGAATTTCCCTGCAGGAATAGCCCAATGGTTTTTAATTACAATCCAAAATCTTAACAAATTACAAATGTTGTGTGTAAACATAATCATTGTGAATCCAAGCCACTAGTAATTGTTAATAGAAAAAGAAAGGAAAAGACACAAAGAACTAAACACACACAAATTCTGCGATGCCTACGTCTGAATTTTTGCTTCTTTGGGGTCTCTCTGAGAGTCTCTTCAGCCCACCACTTGCCCTGACTTCCAGAGGTAAAGTCCAGAGCAGGGGGTGGGGTGGGTAGGTGTCAGACTGAATGGCTCTCGGGCTTGACTCCTGCAGCTAAGACCTACCTAACACCCTAGGAAAGAGCTACCTTCCTAAGGGAAGAGCCCTGTGAGCATTTTTGAGCTCTGGTAGGTTTGGGGGGAAAGGGGCTATCTCCGCTGAATGTCAAGAAGCTACCCTGAGCCTGCTTTGAAACCCTGTCCTTACACCAGCCAGCATCCCCATGGGTTCCTTGGGTCTCTGTCTCTGAGTTCCAGCTTCTGCTACCACCACCCCGAAGTCCTCCAAGTCCACCCTGTGTTCTGAGTCCTGCAGCTGGCCCCTGGACCTCATGCTCCTGGAGCTGCAGCAGGAGCTTTGTTGCTTGTGCTGGACATATTGGGCACCCGCACCTGGTGTTTGAGCTCTCAGCCTGGAACGCATATTGAAAAATATTGTGCACAGAAATTCCCTTAATATTACATGAATGCATACACACACACACACACACACACACACACATATACAAAAACACACACACATTTGATCGTAAGTGCTAGGCAGTGTGTCTGTTGTTTTGGTTTAACCGTTAGAATCCTACTTGGTATTGGTATGACCGGCTGATATTTTCATAGGAATGACAAATGGATGAGAAAAGAGCGGCTATCTCTGGAGAACATGGCTGCTTATAAGTGGCGATTTCCAATAATATTTCCAACTACCCGTCTCTGACCTCTCCTCCCAGTGGTTACCCCCTCAGTCAGTCCCCAACAAGGCTGAGTGCACAACCTTAGAAGGCAGTTACCTCCGAAGGGCGATTTCCACCCCAGTGAGATGGCTGCATCTCCAGGAAAAGCCACTTGTCCCGGATGTCAGAAGCCCTTGATTTCTTACTCAGACCTTAGTCACAAGGGGCAGTTCGGCCAGTGTCAGGGAAGAAAAGAAAGGTTAAGTTGTAACTGTGTAAATGAAGTAGGAGAAAGGGGAATGCTTGGGCCTGCTCTCTTGGAGAGATTCGGGAGGCTGATCCTGCTCGGGAACAAGCCCAGCAGAGCCTGGCGCGGCGCGGAGAAGAGGGGAGAAACTGCCCGTAGGTCCAGGTCCTTTTCACCTTAGCGCATCCAGCCAGACGCAGGAAGAAACCTCTTTGCACGATTAAGTCGCGTCGGTGGAGCCGGTGGCGCGGACACGTGAGGCGCTCAGCTTTGCCTCCCGGAAGCAGCGGTGTTGGAAATCCCCGCCGAAGACACCCCATTACCAATGCTCACACAGGGAGCGGGGCCCACCGGTTGCGCGTCGGCCTCCCACCAGCATCCCGCTAGCGTGCACGCTCTCGCACCGGCCCAGACGCCTGCAAGATGTTTACTGCTCCGAGCCGGGACCGCTGGGGAGACGCAGCTAGGGTGCGGCACTGCGCAGGGCGCTGGCCGGGCTCCGGGCTCGCGGTCGGGGGTGCGAGCGGGCGGGGAGGGAGCAAGGGAGAGGGGATGGAAGAGGAGGGAGGAGTGGGTGGACTAATGATGAAAAAGTCTCCTCCAACCCGGCTCCTTAATTAAATGCATGGAAAGAACCGAAGCGAGCACATCTGGTTTCAATCTGCAGCCCTTTGATGGCATCAAATGTTCTTTTCCCAGATCAGGGCTGGAAGTTCTGGGCTAACTATGGCCGTTTGGAGCCCAGAAACCATTCACACTCACTCGGACCCTTCTTTCTCTCCAATCGAGTCTTGCCGTTATAGGAGAGAGAAGAAAAAAAAGAAAGAAAAGGAAAGGAAAGAAAAGAAAAGGGGGAAAATATCTAGTAATCAAGGGACTGTTTGTGTGTGTGCGTGTGTGTAAAGAACATAAAACTCCACAAATAAGCACTTAATATATTGCTTACTCGTCATATAGTAACTCATTTCTAATGAGACTATTAAAGTTGTTACCAAATTCCAACAGGTCATGAAAAAAATCGTTCAGCACCTTTCTGTCCTCTGTCAAATTAAGGCTCAACACACTGACGACAGAGCATTATCCATAGACAAGGGAGTGTGTGTGTGTGTGTGTGTGTATTGGTGGGATTGATGGGGGTGTTCCTCCACCCTCCCAGTCCTTCCTCCTCCCCCACCCCCACCACACACCCTTAGGGCACCGAGTCTGGACCCTGAACTGCTGAGAAATCTCACCCTGCCGCTCCCTCTGCGAGTGCCCCCAGCTTCCTGGGCATCCGGGCTGCAAGACCATTTTGGCTTAGCATGGTCACAGGGAAGCGACCTGGCTGCACCAAAGAGGCTGTGAAATTGGCCAGGGTGAGAGGAGAGGGGAGCAATTACGATATACACCTTGAATTTTTTTCCTGCAGCTAGATAAATTATCTTACTGCCCTGGCCAGGGGAACCTTAGCAGAGCCCTGAGCCTGGACTCGATTCGGTGCCTTCTAAATCTCCCCCAATCTGCCTCAGTCCACGAAAGAGGCGTGGGAGAGCCTCCCATTATTATCACTCCTGTTATTTTATTACGTTATTTAATAGGCTGTCTCTACGGAGCCAAATATAACCTTAATATGCTTGCTTTCTCCCTGGTTCTCTCTCAGACGCTCCCCCCCCCCAGCCCCAGCCCCCAAAACCGTTAGTACAGCAGGAAACATTAAAAAAAAGAAGAGGCAAAGGGAAAAGAAAATTTGATTGAGATAGTTGTGGATTTTTTCCAACAAGTTTCCCTGCAGCTGTTATCAAAACATGCAAATGAGATTTTCCAACGGATCTTAAACAAATCTGGAGGAGTTAATGCCGAAGCAAAATAATCAGCCCGTTTGAAGTGACTGTGGGTTTCAGTTTGTCTTTTCTCCGCTAGATACTATAGCAGGGAAATGATAATTAGACCTTTACTTTAAAAATCCAAAGGGGCTCTCTCTCGCTTTCTCTTCCCTCCCTTTTCTCTCCCTCCTCCCTCTCTCACTCCCTCCCTCTCTCTGGCTCAGATGTTGGCAAAGGGGGTTTTCTTAATCAGACTGTTTTTTGGTTCGAGGGAAAGGAGGAAGAAGGAGATTGTGATGGAGAAAGGGGGTCTGTAAAACGTCAGGCACGGCACAAAGGCTTTGCCACGTAATTACAGGCTCCTATTAAGTCGAGATCTGCCCTCCCAGGGGTCTCCAATTTTCTTGTATTCCCTACAAAGCCTCCTCTGCATGCCAGTTTGTGCCTTTTGAAGTGCCAGAGAGCTTCTTGATCCAACTGAGAAGGAAAAAGGAGCTCAGCGAGAAGAGGGGGAGCGAGAGAAGGGAAAGGGGGGAAACCCACCACCACCCTCCATCGGACTCTTGAAGCCCTTTTTTTTTTTTTTTTTAACTCCTTAGGAAAAGTAAAGTGAGAATCCTGCTCTCCAATACATCTGCAAGACATCACCCTCTCCTCCTGAAACTTTAGTCACTCCTGAGAATCCACAGGAGTGCAGAGAGGGGGAACACTTTTCTTGAAGATGTTTTAAAGCTGGAACAAGCCTTCTTCTGTTGGTGCTTGAACTCTTGCCTGGGAATAACTTTTTTAACCTTAAAAAACCACTTTGATTCTTCTCTCCCACCCCTTCTACTCTCTTCTTCTGTTTGCCTAACTCCCCCGCCCTGCTGGCCTCCCCTTTCCTCTCTCCCCCTTATTATTATTTTTAGTGTGTGCGTGTGGACGCTTTTGGAGAGCTGGAAGGGATTTTTTCCTCCTGATTTGAACTTAGGGTGATTTTTTAATTTTATTTTTTGGTGTGGATTATCTCTTTGGACTGAGCCGAACTTGGCCTCAGGAAAGCACCCTAGGCTAAGGAAGGCTGCTGGTGCAAAACTCTGTGCTCTGCAGAAGGGGGTCCCCCCCCTTCCACTTTTTTTTTTTTTTTTGTCCATCCCCTTCTCTCTCTCCCTCTCTCTTTCCACTCCCCCCTCTCTCTTCCCCACTCTGCTCCTCTCCCCCCCTCGCGCCCACAGCGTTTGGTGTTGATTCGAGCGGGAAGAGGGGGGTGGGTGGGATCGGAGGGGGAGACCATGACCTCCAGCTACGGGCACGTTCTGGAGCGGCAACCGGCGCTGGGCGGCCGCTTGGACAGCCCCGGCAACCTCGACACCCTGCAGGCGAAAAAGAACTTCTCCGTCAGTCACCTGCTAGACCTGGAGGAAGCCGGGGACATGGTGGCGGCGCAGGCGGACGAGAGTGTGGGCGAGGCGGGCCGGAGTCTACTGGAGTCGCCGGGACTCACCAGCGGCAGCGACACCCCGCAGCAGGACAGTGAGTTAGGGGCGTCAGCCCGCGGGGGGGTGTGTCGCAGACCCTGGGCGGAGGTCCGAGCGGGGCTGCTGGAGACCTTCAGCGGCCGGGGAAAGAAAGTTGGGGCGGGACGTGGAGAGGCGGTGGCAGAGGCAGGAGAAAGGGCCGATCTCGGACAGGGGGAAAGGGTGAGAGAGGAGGACTCTGCCGAGCTCGTACCCCGGGCAGACTCTGGAGGGAAGCGCCGAGGTCCTGCGGTCAGGGTCAGGAACTCCTCCCGACGCGGACCTTCGCTGCTGGGCTGCCACTTTCTCCCGGGTGAGCAAGGCTGAAAGACCTTCCCGAAAGCGGGACTACTGGGCTGGGAAAAGGGTGCAAATTCAGGGCGCCAGCCCAGTTTGTTAAAGTAGAGGGTTAAAGATGCTGAGCCGTCGGGAGGACTTCTCCCGGATCGCAGTTTGGGAATAGAGCAGACAGAGGTGCAGAGGGCACCACTCTCAGGGAGCCAGACCCACCCTGCTTTGGCAGGGCGCTGTGCCTGGGACCGAAGCCTGGAAGTGCAGGATCAGCGTGCTGGTGCTCCAGGCGCGAGCTGCCCGAGCTACTATGGGCTTCCCGCTGTTGCCTCCACCTGCAACTGGTTGGAGACCCCCGACAGAATCAAAGGTCTGAATAACTCAGGAAGACTCCGCCAGAGCTAAGGGAGTGTCTTTAAGGATGAAATTCGAGCTTCTATAGGGCAAAATCCCACACAAGAGAGAGGCGTGGGCCGCTTGGGCTCCCAATGCCCAGCCGGGTGTCACTCACTACTGGCCCCCAAGACCTTCAGAAAAGTCCATGCAGTTTCCCGTCGCCAGCTGATGTGACCTGCAAGGAAATCTCACCTTGCTTATTAACCTAGGCAGCTGTAAAACAGGATCCAGTGTCTCCCAAATCTGTAACAGACTTGTCACCAGATTCATCCCAGGTAACATGGGCTATATACTTTCTCCTTGAGACTGCAAGAATCTGAACGTGGCTGGAAGTTCTGAAATATGGCTGCCCACGTTCTATGTCGTTATTTGCGGACTATTACTTTGTTCAAGTTTGGAATCTGTGGCACTCTGTTGTTTGTTTTTTTAAATCACCAGACCCTCAAAAAATAGATAGAAAAAACAAACTGCACCTAGAAACAACTGGAAGAAGGACCTGGGCAAAGGGGTGGGAGCTCAGCCAGCTTGGCTAAAACAGGAGAGCCTCTCTCTGGGACAGAGGTCCAGTCTTCCTCCCTGCTTCCTTGGTCCAGGCCTGGGCCCTGTCTGTGTTTTTTAGCCATAAGGGAACTGGGACTGATCTGTCCTAGCACTGGAGTGATGCTGAGTGGTCTGACTTGAGGAACCTGGTCTCATCTGCCGCTATGAAAGACTCTCACTCTAAGAAATACAGACCCAGCTTCCCCAAATCTGGGTAAATGCTAAGCATGGTACAGAGACTACATAGGCTGTGGAGGGTATTGGTGTTTGCATAGACACTTAGCTCCAAGAAAATACAACAAATTAATATGATCAATTTATTGTGATACTAGGGAGAGCTTACACATACCAAGACTAGGGAGAAGAGTATACTGAATCTCCATGCCCCTATCATCTAGCTTCATTAATTCTGCACATTTTGCCATGCCTGTTTCTACTGGTGATTATTAGTCACAAGATATCAGTATTCAAAGAGCCAAAGGTGGAAGTCACAAAGAGCATTTACTATTTAGGGTTATGAAGAAACTACTGTATGGAAGACCAGGGTGGGACCAGAGTATCTAGTCAGTGCCACTTTGCCCCAAAAGGCCGCAGAAGAATGTGAAAACAGGCCCAAGGTCAGAAGCTATAGCAATCCCAGGCCCAAGCCAGAAGGGATGGTCCCAACTAAGGCAGAGCTGGAGGGATGCTGATTGTTCCTGTTGTTTGGTGAATGGCAGCCTGGAGAAGGAGGCTCAGGTTAGTGGTCACTGAGCCTGGTAAGGAGTAAGATTGGGGCTGAAAAATGCCCCTAAGTTGAGGATGAGGTGACATACCATGTCAGAGAGGTGGCCTACGATGGTTCCCCTGTGACCTGGGTCTGGCACAGCCCAGGGAGCACGGAGCATGTGGAATCCAACAAAAGGCAAAAGGTCAGTAGCAGCAGGTGAAGTTGGAGACTCTTGAGTTATAAGGAGTAGTCATTCCTAGTAGGAAGTGGACCCCCCCAAAGGAAACTAAGGCTTGGAGCCCATTTAGGGGGAGAATGTGAGAGGAATGATGGTAGAAGAATACAATGTGGTGACAGTGACAAAGTGACCTCCATCTGGGACTGGGAAAGGCAAATGTGCATGGACACACACACACACACCACAAACCAGGTCTTGATTTCCTTAGAAAGCCCTGGTCTATTCTTCTAAGAGACACTTTAAAAGTGATATTTCTTCATCCTCCTACCCTACTTCTGGGATGAGAATAGGAGACTTTGGAAAGTTGGGGTAGTAGTGTCCAGGAGAACTATTTTCCGAAGTTCTTGGGCCTCTGTGAGGAACTGTTGAGGAGGCTGTTATGAACTATTTGGAAGTCAAGCCCAAAGGAGATTCTTTAGAACTCCAAGCCCAGGAGGGACAGAGTCTGTTACAGAACAGGAATTGATCACCTCTGTTGGAACATTGAGACACATTTATAAGATGCCATTGACTTTTCCAGATATAGAGGAGACAGATCCTTCCCAAAAATTCCTTTTGGCTGAAATTAATAAAATGGAATCAGTTTACACCTGCAGTGTTAGCTCATCATTATTATAAAATTTCAAAGTACAACCTGGCATGAATTGAGCAAAGAGGAGTTAAGTATTGTGCAAAGAACAGGCTCCTGGCTTGCTGGTCTCCTGTGGTCCCCATTGAAATTTTGCTTCTCCTTGTTTAATATTCATTCCATTTTCCTCGCTGTGAAACGATTTCTTTTACTTATTCTCCCAGCCCAGTAAATTTCTCAGGCGACTGGTTTCTAGCACCTTAATATTTAAAGAAACGTTTTTGAGCACTGTTAGAAATCCAGGGGCTGATGGAGGACTGCGGAGTGTGAAGGGGGAAGGTGGTAGGAGATAGTCAGCAAGAGGAAAGAGGAATGGGTCATAAAAACAGGTAGATTTATTCCTGGGAGGACGGTGCATCCTGCTGTCAGTTCTTAATCGTACTTCTGCAAACTCTTAAAAAAAAAAAAAAAAGCGCCTGCTTTCCACATTCCCAACCTCGAAATTAGTGAAACCAGATTGTCCTAATAAGACCTTTTGTTGGAAACACATGTAGTCATAAAAAGGTAGACGGAAAGTCAATTAGACACGCGCGCACACGCACGCACGCACTAGCCGGTGCTAAGTGCGCACCCGCGCAGCTGGGGCCGGTCTGCACAGGACGCAGATGCAAAAGAGCAGTGCGGGAAATCGATTGGTCACAAAGAAAGAAGTGTCAAAGCGGCGTTGGAATCAGCCCTACCCTCCTCCCGGGCGAAGCTCTGCTATTTCTACCTTGCCAGAGAAACGCCCAGAGAGTGGGACCGTTCTCCAGGGCTCTCCCCAGTTGAAATTCTCTTCAGAACACCCATTCCCTAAGAGCCCCAGAATGCAAAAGCCTGGACGCCAGTCTTTTTTTTTTTTCTTATTTTTTCTTAATCTATATATCTCTTTACATTATTGTTCTTTTTAAAACAATGTTTACAACTACCCCACTTCGCCTGCCAGTCATTTTCTTAAGCGGCACGGTCCTGGGGTCCCAAAATCGGAGCCTTGGCCAAGCTCTCTGAATTCGAACTTCAGTTATCTTGATTTAAGGGAAACTGCTGCAATATATCGTTATAAAGAATAGACTGGAAACATTTTTCTGTTTGGAGGAGGTAGTGAAATCTAGGATCAAGGGGAGTCACTCAGTTCCCAAAGTCTAAGACCAGCGAAAAGGTGGCAAATCCTGTTTATCTGCTATGTTGAGGACCTGGGACTGTATGACCTTTTAAATTTTTTTCTTTAACAAACTGACAGTCTGGTAACCTCACGGGTTTTTAATCGAAAGCTTGGTGATGGCAGTGTCGGGAAGGTAGACTTGTAAAGCCCGAGGCCCCTGGTGGTCAGTACTCCATGGGACTCCAGATTCCCCAACTCCAGAAAACAGTCAGTCAGTGCCTCCACCTTCAGTTCTTGGAGGGGCTGCTTTCCAGATTTCCCCTTCCAGACTTCAGGGCACCGCACTGCGCATTAGGTCACTAGGCGACCTCCACCTTCAGGTCAGCGCTCTGAGATTTCGGCAGGTCAGCCCTAGGGGTCTTTGCTGTTCCTTCCTCTTGCCAGAGACTTCATTTTAGATTTTACAACACGAGAGGATAAATCATCTCCAAACCACACGATGTCACCCCACTCTTGCCCCCAGCAAAACCCCACCTAACACGTTCAGAACTATGATCTACTAATCTACTAATCCATGTCCGCTCAAGTCCAAGCTCCTCTCTTCATTTTTTGTGATAGCTGCAGATTTTCAACCCGGAGGACCCCTTGATCAACTTGATTTTTATTTTAAAAGATGTGTTTCTTTTTAACTCCTTTCTTATACCCTGTACCTGCTCCCTCCTTCAGCAGGCCACAGCACCAAAACAGCTAGTAAAATACCCATTTCCTTCTGGAAGGCGCCAGGGCTCCTGAAGATTTCTTTTAAACCAGCGAGCTAGAGCTAGCGTAGTCCTTGTGCAGAGAGAAAGTTTCTGCTGTCGACTCTGCGACTCTGCCCGCTTTCAACGACTCTGGGAATGTGTTATTTATTTATACCCTTTAGGAGAGTTGATGTCAGCAGAAACCCATAGGAGGCACAGCTTCTAGAAATCGGGAGTGTTCACAAAAGGAGATAAGGCTGGAGTCTTGCTTATTTTATTGCAGAAGGTGGAAGACTTTCTAGGGAAACCGTCCCCCCCAACCCCAACCCCCAAAAAGAAAGAAAGAAAAGGAAAGCCTTGGGATTCAGCATCCCCCATCCAAACCATTTGTAA